CTCAGAGCATCTTGTGGGGCACACACAAGGGAGTTACAATTTGACCAATAGCATAGCAGCAAATGAGCGGGAACCAATCATAATGACCGTTCGATGATCAGTAGCATGAGTGACGTCATGAACACGTCACGACCACGTCATAGCTGTTATTCTCCATCGCGCTGGTTGAGGTTGACCTCAGGGTCACACTGTCGCTTCGCAGGCGTTCCCTCTCCTCTCTCACGCTCCCACCGTGCAAGGTACCCACTGACCCTTGGTGGCAAGTATGCTTAACTCCCTGTATCTACTTCCTGCCTGGACATACAGCGGCCTCCGTATTATGAAAGTGTTCCTGGTTAAGTGGGCATTCTGGAGATACCCAACATGCCAGGTTACTATCCAGGGGTAACAGAAATAGGCTTGTGCACAAGATCAGTGCACTGTGCACTGCAATGAGCCATACCAGTCAGCTGTGGGAGAATCTTGAGAAACCATATTCTCACATTCACAAAGCAGTAATGAACCTGTACATTTTTTTCAATCCTTGGCGGCATTGTTAAGAATTATTAAACAGTTAATGAGCTCCGAAGCACCAGGAGGCTGTTTATAACAATAACAGCAGTTGATTGGGATGTTTTCATGCTTGTAAATTGTTTAATAAATGTAACCAAAACCGTCAAAGATTGAAGAAAGATGTACAGGTTCGTAAGTGCTAGCATAACTGCTTCGTGAATCTGGCCCCTGGTCTTCACAGGCCTATAACCTTTTCAATATGTGTGCTTGCAGCCGTATGGGAGGTGCTGTTGCTCCAGCGAGCTGGCAGGGTAATCTGAACATTACTTACCACACTGGACCTGGCCTCGCACACCCAGGCTGGAAAGTCAACGTGGATGTGAACAACAACAACACTCAAACTACCACTTACAATGTTGTGGGAGTCATCACAGGTCACGAAGAACCCGGTTAGTAGGGGTATGCGTCAATATAAATCGAACCAGGGATGTTGACATTAAGTATTGCTATAAATCTCAATATATATTATTAGAAGTTTGCATCCTTGGCACAAAAGCATTTCAATTTGTGTAGCTCCGTTTAAATACTTGGCTTTTAGACAGATACGTTATTCTCGGCAACCACCTGGATGCTTGGCTCTTCGGTGGCCTGGACCCCAACTCCGGCACGGCCGCCATGCTCGAACTCTCACGGGTCTTCGTCCATCTACGTAACGAAACGGGTGAGTGACATTCAACAGGATGTTATTCATTTGTGTTATTTGTAAAAGGTGTTGCGTTCTTGTTCTTCATCTGCCTTTTCACCCAGTAAACAAATGGTGGTTGCAAATGACAGAAAAGATGATTTTTTTTTTGTTAATTGTGTAAAATGTGAAGACTGAAATCAATCCTATTTTCCAATTTCCAATCTTATGGTCACATGTTAGTGAAACACTTCTCAATAACGACCAGTAGTCAGCGCAACCGGTTAACGAACATTCTTGGTTCGATTCCCACATTAGAGAGAGATGTTTTTGGAGGTTTCCTTCCACCTAATTGCTCTGTTTACCTAGCAGCAAATAAATGCTCATGATGCAGACAGCTGTTATGGGTTGCATCCTACGGAGCTTCTTGAGGTTATCTTGAGATGATTTCGGGGCTTAGCGTCCCCTCGGCCCAGTCCTCGACCAGGTCTCCTTTTTTGGATGCTCAGTCATTAGTCATGGGCAAGCATGGTGAATCTTTTTTTTTTTTTTTTGAGGGCGTGTTTTTGAATTGGCGATAATGGTGAAAAAGTCCGCTGGGAGTGCCAGTGGGGGTGAAAAAGTCCGCTGGGAGTGCCAGTGGGGGTGAAAATGCTTGAAATAATTCTTAAAAAACTTTGTTTAGGTGACTAGTAAGTTTTTTTTATTAATATTACAATTTTCTACCACAGACGTGGCCACACACCAGTAAGTTTGTATGTGTGCCAAGATAATACCCAGGTCTTAAGGCGGACCTCGGAGTCTTAACAAGCTGCTTGTGCCATACAGCGAGAAACAAGATGATTTAGATGCTCTTGATGAATACACTTGATACGGGATGGAAACTATATGAGGGGAAAGCACAAAGCCATTGCGACTATACAGCACTAGGAAGGGGTCAGGATAAGGATTTGGGATGGGACAGGGGAAAGGAATAGTGCTCAACTAATTGGACGGTCGGGGATTGAACGCCGACATGCATGAAGTGAGACCGTCGCTGTACCGTCCAGACCAAGTGGTTGGGCATAAGCCATTCATCGCCAACCAAGAATCAGCACATCATCTGTGCTTCTAAAATGGCATGTCACAGGCTGAATGCTAGAAAAATATGTACTCTAACTACCATTTTATCACATCTTTTTATCCCTAGTTTACTTAGATCTTCTGGAGTAAAGAATCTTCTAGTTTAGTTTTAGTTAAATTTGTTTATTATGAACCATAAATTTTGTGATAAGATTCTTTCTTTCTCTTTCTTTTGTCTCTCTCCTTCCTCTCTTCACATTCAGTTCTAATGTGTCATCGGGTGTGTGAATAGTCTCAATAAACAATAGTGTGTTTACAGTCTCCGTGGTGTAGTGGTAAGACACTCGCCTGGCGTTCCGCGAGCGCTATGTCATGGGTTCGTATCCTGGCCGGGGAGGATTTACTGGGCGCAATTCCTTAACTGTAGCCTCTGTTTAACTCAACAGTAAAATGTGTACTTGGATGAAAAAACGATTCTTCGCGGCGGGGATCGTATTCCAGGGACCTGCCCGAAACGCTACGCATACTAGTGGCTGTACAAGAATGTAACAACTCTTGTATATATCTCAAAAAAAAAAAAAAAAAAAGTTGTGCTAACAGAGCTTGTATAATGGTCAGATATACACACAACCCATATCTTCCTCCCAAGGTTTCCCAACATCAAGAAACCGTCGTACTAAAGTGCCCTTATCCTAACCTACCAGAGAACCCAAAACGGAAAACGGGACAGTGTGTCAATATCGCAAGTCGCTGCCATTTTCTAGTACGATATAGTTTTAGACCTTAGGTAATGTATACGATCGAAATGTGACGTTCTGTGTAAGAGGTTGTACCAGCAATGACGGGAGCCGGTCGGCCGAGCGGACAGCACGCTGGACTTGTGATCCTGTGGTCCTGGGTTCGATCCCAGGCGCCGGCGAGAAACATTGGGCAGAGTTTCTTTCACCCTATGCCCCTGTTACCTAGCAGTAAAATAGGTACCTGGGTGTTAGTCAGCTGTCACGGTCTGCTTCCTGGGGGTGGAGGCCTGGTCGAGGACCGGGCCGCGGGGACACTAAAGCCCCGAAATCATCTCAAGATAACCTCAAGATAGAAGATGTATACGATCGCAATGTGACGTTCTGTGTAAGAGGTTGTACCAGCATGGAGCAGGTGTAATGGGTACCAGCATGGAGCAGGTGTAATGGGTACCAGCATGGAGCAGGTGTAATGGGTACCAGCATGGAGCAGGTGTAATGGGTACCAGCATGGAGCAGGTGTAATGGGTACCAGCATGGAGCAGGTGTAATGGGTACCAGCATGGAGCAGGTGTAATGGGTACCAGCATGGAGCAGGTGTAATGGGTACCAGCATGGAGCAGGTGTAATGGGTACCAGCATGGAGCAGGTGTAATGGGTACCAGCATGGAGCAGGTGTAATGGGTACCAGCATGGAGCAGGTGTAATGGGTACCAGCATGGAGCAGGTGTAATGGGTACCAGCATGGAGCAGGTGTAATGGGTACCAGCATGGAGCAGGTGTAATGGGTACCAGCCTTAAACCTCTCTTAGCTGGTTTTTAACTGGTCATTATTTAACGGTTCTTTTGTTCAGCGTTTATTCCTTACTGTAAGCTCAGTCCAGTGATGCCTTGTAACCTTGGTGGTTCATCACCAAGGTCCCACAAAGCAAGGATACTATACCTATCACCAACAAACTCACTAAAGAGACCTTAAACACTGCCACCACCTATCCTGAGAGTTTCTGTAATTACGGTAATTGACTTCGGAAAAGGAACAGTCAGTCGCCAACCTGTCCTCTTAAAAATAACGTCACTTTTGGCTCGTATGCGCGCTATGGCCAAATTTGGACGTAATTTGAAATGAAATCGACTCACAAAAGTGACGTATTGTTCCGTTTTCTGTTTGAGTCGTCCGGCTTACTCGGCAAGCTTTGAAGAGGAAACTTTCCATTAACATTTTTCATAACGTTTTGTAACTTTATGAGAATTTCCTGCCCACCTAACCTATCAGGGTCGTAACACTCCTCCCCCCCTTCAGAGAAAAAAAAAAATGTGACTACTAGAATAGTAGTCATATTTTTAGTAAGAGTACACAGAGAATAAAAAGAAAAAACATATGACAAAAACAAAAAATCAATCAAAAACAATTTCTCTGCAAAAAAAATACAAAGGAGTTCTCTGAAAGGAAAAAAAAACACACAAAAAAAATAAAAGAACAGGGAAGTAAATAAATTGGACACGGAATATTTAATGTCACAGGAGAACCTAAACAAAAAAAATTAACTAAAGCATGACAGTTGGTAAATGGCTTTCTGTGGCTCAGATGAATGTTATTCAGGCAACCGGGACAGAGCGTCGGCTATCACGTTGAGTCTGCCCGGTAGGTGGGTAATGGAAAGATTGAAGTCCTGTAGGTACAACGCCCACCTGAGGATGCGTTTATTCTTACCCTTCATCTGAGTCAGGAAGACTAGTGGGTTATGGTCCGTGTACACTTCCACTATATTACCTGTGAGGTAAACTTCAAACTTTTTACATGTTAACACTAGCGCCAACGCCTCTTTTTCTACCACTGAATAATTGCGTTGCGCCTTGTCGAGTTTCACAGAGTAATAATATACTGGGTGTTCCACCTGATCATCCCCAGTTTGCAACAACACTGCACCAGCACCCGAGTCAGATGCGTCAACATGAATTTTAAACGGTCGGTCGAACCTTGGACTAGCAAGCACTGGGGCGGAAGCTAAGATCAATTTCAAATTTTTAAATGCCTCTGCACAGTCTGATGACCACTTAAATTTAACGGCTTTCCGCAACAAGTCTGTGAGAGGAGTGGCAACACTGGAAAAGTTCTGACAAAAACGTCGATAGTACGCACACATACCGATAAATCTTTGAACGTCCTTTTTAGACTTTAATACTGGATACTCCAGAATGGCACTGATTTTATCTTGCCGAGGTAACACTTTTCCTTGGCCCACTTCATAACCGAGGTACGTCACTGTGCCTTGGCCAAAATGACACTTTTTAGCATTTAAGGTAAGATTTGCCCTTTTCAAGATGGCAAACAACTGGCGTAACCTAGCTATGTGGTCAGCCCAATTACTGTCAAACAGCACGATATCATCTAAATACGCCCGACAATTTGGCACCTTAGCGAGTAGAGAGTTCATGAGTCTCTGGAACGTGGCAGGAGCATTACGCAAGCCGAACGGTAACACTTGATACTCAAAAACACCCTCGGGTGTCACGAACGCAGTTAGTTGTTTAGCACGATCAGTGAGTGGGATTTGATAATACCCCCTCGAGAGGTCAAATTTCGAGACGTACTTGGCATTTCCCAGCTCGTCGATGCAGTCCTCGAGGAGGGGCAGCGGATAGGCATCCACAATGGTCACCTTGTTGAGCTGCCGATAGTCGGTGCATAATCGCCAGGAGCCATCTGGTTTGGGGACCAAAAGGCAGGGCGAGCAACAAGAGCCCTGGCTCGGCCGGATGAGGCCGTGCTGGAGCAAGAAGTCGACCTCCTTCCGTACGATGGCCTTCTTTTCTGGACTCATCCGATAGGGTTGAAGGCGAATGGGAGTGTAGTCCGTCAACTCGACATCATGGCAAATGGCATCAGTCTGGGTCGAACAGACTGGAGAATTCATCAACCAACGACTGCACCTCTTCACGTTGGGCCATCTGCAAATGGGACAGTCCCTCCACAGCATTCACAGAACTAGAATTATTGAAAATGAGATTAGTTGGGTCCCCAGAACAATCATCCCCTCCCTCACTGGAAATGGAAACATTGGTTAGTGCAATGGGCCTGGGGCCCTGGAACTTCTTCAGTCGATTTACATGTATGAGCATTACCTGGTTACGTTTGTGAGAGTGCCTCACTTTGTACGTGAGGTCCCCAGTCTTTTCTGTCACAATGTAGGGGCCTTCGTACTTGTGGGACATAGTGTTCCCTAGTCGAGGCTTAAATAC